AATAAATGAATTAGAACCATTCAAAAAAAATCGAAACCAATATATATATATATATAAGAGTTAACATTTTCTAAACCTTCAATTCAATGATTCTAACCATTTCTTCACTCTTTTAAAAAAATCAATCGGTCAAAAATTATATTTGGTTTGCTGTCATTTATTGGACCTACATAAGATAGATTCATAAAATATGATCCCTTCCCATTCTTTAAAAGAATGAGCTAATCAAATTCATTGTACATAATTCTCCATTTATCTTTAACGCAACCCATTTGCCTATTTAGGCCCCATTTTCTTGTTTTAAGCTTTTATTTATTTTGTCAAATCAAAGTAACGCAAGGTAATGAGGTTCAACCACTTTATATTATAATTATTTTTAAAATTTACTCTCTCAGTCCCATAATTTATATCGTATATTGATAGTTTTAGGAAGCACATTTGATCAAGGGAAATAACAAAATTATCCTTAAAAGATGATTGATAGATTTGACTGATTTAGTTCGATAGATATAAAAAAGTGAGACATATAAGAGTAAGGAATAAAATATAAGTGTTGTTATTTGTTAACTTTTTTAGTATGACGTTTTGAATTAGAGAATTTTAAAATCAAAAGAGACGCTCTTACTAATACATAGAGAATATCATTTATGTTATATAACATCTTAATAAATTTCTGCTATATATTAAATGTTTTATAAAAATAATAACATGAAATTGAAAATCTAAGAAAATGGTTTCTTTAAGAGACATGGATTTCATTCTGGTTAAGTGGTTGATGAACAAAAACCATTGCCAAATTAAACAAAGATAATGCAAGCACTTATCTTAATGTGCGCCGTCACTATCCTTTAAATTTTGAGTTTTATAGTCCAACTTGGTCTTTAACCATCAAACTAAGAAAACAAAATCATTGCCTTTTCCCCCTAAACAAAATAAATATATCTTCTCTGCTTAAAATCAATCTTGATTAAATACCAATGGAAGTTAAGATAAAGGGGGTGAAACTGAAACCAGACCTGTCATGAACCACGTAATATTCAATACTTAATTAACAAGATAGAAAATAATTTAGCATGCAAAATCCCAAAACAATTAGTCACTGTATAAATTTCAAAGGCAAGTAGCCGGAACCGGTAGTTTGGTTGGACTAAAGAAAGAGAAAACAGGTTCCAAGGAAAGATACATTGCATGTGCAGTTGACAAGTTGTCAGATAATGTGTCTGCAGCCAAAAACATGAATTTTAAATTACTAATCAAATGGAAATTTCTCAACTCGGCATTTTCTTTCTCTTTTCCCCGACCAAATAAATAGAACTCTTTGTGTTGTGCTTCAGCGCCCAACACATTTCTCTCTTCTTCTTTCTTACATATCTTCTTTTTCCCCTATTTACTGGGGTTTCAGTATTCTTCCTTCTGAACAAATTCTGATGCATTCAAGCTTTCAAGGGTTACACTTGGTCTGTGCTTTTCTAGTGTTTTTGCTTTTTGGGTGTTGCATTTTCGGGTCTGAGGATTTTCAGAAAGGTTTCTGCTTTGGGACTCAACCATGCCTGCTCTTGTTAATTACGGTGGTAAGCTTTTGTTTTTTCCTTTTTTGTTTGTAAAGATTGGGATTGAGTTTATAGGCATGTTTTTATTTCTTAGATTGATTATAAATAATTTGAAACGGTAATAATAATCTATCTTGATATGGATAACCTTTATTTGGGTGTTTTTTATATGCTTGATCTTGTTAAGCATTATTTGGTTTTAGCTAGTGTTAGTTTTGAACTAGAAAATGAAGGCAAAGGATTTAGGATTCATTAGTTATATGAATATGTATTACAAGGTTTGAATCATTGAGGATTTGCATCAAAAGTTGGAAGCTTTTACCAAATAATCTATCTTGCTTGTATGTTGTTTGATTGTTCTTGGAAGGGGAAAAGAAATATTTTTGTAGGAATATGTCTGATTTTATCGTAGTATCCTTTTAAGCAGGTGATGATGATATGTTTACTGGAATTTCAGGTGAAAATGATTTCTGTTCTGGAGGGTCCTTTTATACAAATTCGGCAGACTTGGGTAGATTATGCTCAATCAGTTCTCAAGTGGATGTGTACTGCCCTCCTAGTAAAAGAGCTCGTACCAGTGCCCCATTTATCTTTGGGGAAACAGAGGTTGAGCAGAATAAGCAACCATCAATCCATGTTCTTCCTGACGAATGCCTTGTCGAGATCTTTAAGCGTGTTCACGGGGGCAGAGAAAGGGGCTCCTGTGCTTGTGTCTCAAAGCACTGGCTTATGCTTCTGACCAGCATCCGTAAGGGCGAATATGAGTCATCAAAGATGGTCAAGGAGAATATTGAGTCAAGTTCTGATGATGTTGAGATGTTCTCATCTGAGGAGGAGGATGGTTATCTTACAAGGTGCTTGGAAGGGAAGAAAGCAACTGACATGAGGCTTGCTGCTGTTGCCGTTGGAACAAGCGGTCATGGTGGTTTGGGGAAGCTTTCTATTAGGGGAAGCACCTCTTCACGTGGAGTAAATAATTTTGGACTATTTGCCATATCCCGTTGTTGCCCCTCTCTCATGGTACTTTCTTTATGGAACGTCCCGCGTGTAGGAGATGAAGGTCTGTCTGAAATAGCTAAAGAATGCCATTTGTTGGAGAAGCTTGACCTTTGCCAGTGCCCTTTGGTTTCAAATAAGGGGCTAATTGCCATCGCTGAGAACTGTCCTAAATTGACTGCTTTGAGCATCGAATCCTGCCCAAAGATTGGAAATGAGGGCCTCCAAGCTATCGGAAAGCTCTGCCCCAAGTTGCAGTCTGTCTCTATCAAGGACTGCCCACTTGTTGGTGATCATGGAGTTTCAAGCCTGTTGTCATCAGCATCTTCCATCCTTTCAAAGGTTAAGCTTCAGGGTTTGAGCGTCACAGATTTTTCTCTTGCTGTGATCGGACACTATGGCAAGTCTCTGACAAATCTAGTGCTCAGTGGTCTACAAAATGTAAGCGAGAAGGGATTTTGGGTGATGGGTAATGCTCTGGGTCTCCAAAGATTGATCTCTTTAACTATTACTTCTTGCTTGGGGGTAACCGATGTTAGTCTTGAAGCCATTGGAAAGGGGTGCAAAAACCTGAAGCAGATGTGCCTCCGCAGGTGTTACTTTGTTTCTGGTGATGGATTGGTGGCTTTTGCCAAGTCTACAGGTTCTCTTGAGTGCCTGCAGTTGGAAGAGTGCAACAGGGTCACACAATACGGGATTATCGGTGTTCTCTCAAAATGTGAATTAAATTCTCTTACCCTGGTAAAATGCATGGGAATTAAGGATATATCCTTGGGAGTTCCTTTGTCCTCCCCATGCAATTCCCTTAAATTCTTGTCCATAAGGAACTGCCCTGGATTTGGAACCGTCAGCTTGGCTATGGTAGGCAAATTGTGCCCTAGGCTTCAACATATAGATCTAAGCGGGCTATGCGGCATCACAGATGTAGGTCTTCTGCCTCTTCTACAGAATTGTGAGGCAGGACTTGTGAAAGTGAAACTGAGTGGCTGCTTAAATTTGACTGATGAGATCCTCGTGTCCTTGACAAGGCTACATGGTGCAACCCTCGAATTGCTCAATCTAGATGGTTGCAGGAGGATTACCGATACAAGTTTGGTTGCGGTTGCAGACAATTGTGTTTTCCTCAGCGACTTGGATGTGTCAAGGTGTGCAATCACCGATGTCGGCGTTGCTGCCTTGTCTCATGCAGAGCAACTCAATCTGCAAGTCCTTTCATTTTCTGGTTGTTCCGGGGTATCAAACAAAAGCTTAACCTTCCTGGAAAAATTGGGCAAGACCCTGGTGGGGTTGAATCTCCAGCACTGCAATTCAATCAGCACGCAAACCATTGAGATGCTTGTGGAGAGCCTGTGGAGATGTGACATCCTTTTCTAATCGAGGGTCGACCTGAAACAACTATACTTACAACGTTAAAGACGGTAGAAATAAGAAACTCATATAGTCAGCTCACAGTGGTAGCAACACTCGGCACAGTTTTTTCGGTTCGACTTAGTAGAGCTATGTTGGTTGCTCTATGGCTTGGTGTTTTCCCGGGGACTTTTGGCTGTTTGGCAGATGGCCGACCCATCTAAATTTTTGCAGGCTTTCATGACACGCTGGAGAGTCTGTTGTACGTAGCCATGGTTCCTGGAGATCCATTATCAAGTCATGGTTTTTGAGTTTCCAATCGTGATCATCCTAGCTTTTGGATGTGTTCTGCATGAACTGTTGTTCTAGCTCCCTTTCTCTTTTTCAGTCCTATTAAATCTGTTGTTCAAATCAGTCCATCTTTCTTTTAAGAGTCTTCCAGTGTTTCCTTTTGTTTTTTAGCTCTATAGAGGGGCTGCTTTGACAAGCTAAATGTTTAGGTGCCTCAGATTGCTGTGCTTTGGCTATGGCTGCCGAAACCTTCATTTTGGTTTGTTTTTTTCCCCATGTTTTCCAAGTGTCCTGGGTCTTGTAGGGTTACCCTTGCAAGAATTGTACAACTGCAATTATTGTGTTACTGGATCTCAGTTTGATTGAATTTTGAGCTTCAACATGCCGATCAAGATCGGAATTTGCTTTAACAAATAAACCTGAACTACCTTCTTAATTGCTAAACACTCCATAAAAAAATGGATATTGGAACTGCAAAATATCCTGATTCTTCTGCAATATCACAAAATGATTAAAAGAAAGAACAAACACGGCTTTATATTTGACCCTTCTACTTTCATTCGATTAACGCAATTACCATCTCATTAGTTTTTGTTGAAAAATCATGCGTTGTCGTCATATGATAATTTTATTTAACTAAATTAAAAAATAATTAATTTTAAATAAAATCATAAAAATAAAAGAGTCAAATTGATGTTTTATGACACTAGAAGAAGTAGAATGATAAATATCAGATACTAACATCTTCACTAAATCGGAAAACAAAGATTCAAACTACACTGCAAAAGTCTATACTGTAAGCTAACAGGGATTTAAGCTATATATATATGCTCAAGGTTGAAAGAATTTATTTCCACATTTGCATTTCCAGGCCAGTAGATAATAGCTTTCATCACCTTGATACGAATAGCTTCGAATATTTCTATGATTATGAGAAGCAACTAAAGCAGCCATGCAAGGTCTGCAGCTGAGGCACTTGTTAAAACACTTGGGAGGCCTCGAACCCAGAACCAATTTCTCTTGGTTCCAACTACTGTTATCATTATTACCTGCTACAGATACTGACCCAACTGTGCCAAAAACAAAACGATCTCCAATTAACAACAAAACAGCATAGAATCTTACGGTGGGTATGTGTGTGTGTGTTATGAGATCAATTGGTGTTTGTGTGTGTTTTACCTGATTTGGAAGGGGAAAACGTGAGGTAAAAGATGAGCATGACATTGAGTACAGAAACCTTTAGCTCCAGAGGGTGGTGTTTAAATGAAGCCATCAGGTATTGTCTGCGAGGATGGAGCTTGTTTGTTTCTCAAGGAAGGTGTTAATAATCTGATGGCAAAGAGAAGGTGATGGGTGAGTTTGCCTCAACCGTCTCTCTCAAGTCTCATCAATTTCACTACAAGAAGCAGGAACTAATAAAAGAAAGGAAAATAGAATGCATCTTTCTGATCAGAGTTGTGTGGGAATGGGAGGGGGTCCCATAGAATATAACTCTAGAAATAATGATGAAGTCTCACAATCAAGAAATAGCTACCCTCTGTCATCATGTTCCAGGGTGAATTGACTGAAGTTACATTTTCTTTCATCTCTCTGTACGCAGACTTGACTCACCCTTTGCTCACTTTTTCTTTATTAATCTGTATTCATTTCGAATTATTTAATCAAACCTCTATCTTAAGATATAAAGATATGCAATTACAAAAAAGCTCAATAATGAAGTATTATACACAGTAGCAGCATGTTCTGCTGTTGTTTATATATTTTTCACTCTCCATGTCCAACCAGTATGGTGTTTAAATTTGTGTCAACAGTCTGAAATCATGTTTTCGTTATCCAAAATTACTGGCCTTTGATGACTTGTAAAACCAAGGGATGTAATGGTAGTAGTTGCAGTAGTAATTAATTTCCACGGAAAGTGGAATGCTCCTTCAGAAAAGTCTGTCACTCAACAGGGAAAAACAGAAGGTGAAGTAATGACCTAAGCTATATGATGGAGGACCATATCATCCGCTGCTAATCTGTTTGTTACATACAATAAGAGGATCTTAATTTTATCATAATTTTGCTTAGTTTATGTTCATTTATGTGAATGGAAGGCTGTTAATTATTGGATTATCCTATAAAACTACACCGGATCACGGCGTTTTTACCCCAAAATAATATGACAGAAAATAATTACCTGAGATGTATTACTTCTTCAAATTTTACCGATCTTTCATCGTTTCTGATAAGGTGCGGATCGTCATCCGCGCCTTTGCGGAGTTTCGTCCGAGTTAGCACCACGTCATGAAATGCACGGATGATTATCTGCGCCTTATCCGAACTGGTGTCACGTCAGCACGTCAGGACATGTATCGCCATCCGCACCTTTCTGAGAATTATGACACGTGTCTATAAGGCGCGGATGATGATACGCACATTTCATTTAATTTTCAACCGTTCACACCTCCTACATTAATTATTCCCTCCCTCTCCCTATAATTACCCCTCTATTTTTCATTCAAACACACACCAAATTCTCAAATCCTCTCAAAGTTCAAACTAGCTCAAATACTCTTAAAGCTCAAACTCGACCAGATTCTATTAAGAATGTAAAATATTTTTTTATATTATAATAAATTAATAATTTATTATTTTGTTAAATTGTATTATATTAACTTTTTATTATTTTTTACAGTTATAAAATGGAATGTGATCTGTTACATTTGGATAAACATCATATTTCGAGGTATTTTGCTAATATAGTAACAATTTTAAATTCTATTTTAATTTTAATTATAATTATTGTTGATATTTTATTTATTTAATTTTTAGTATTAGTTTATATTTGAATTTCTATAATATTTATTAAATTAGGATAGAGACCGTATATTAGATCCCTTCATTCGTAATCTTAAATTAGAGATATCAACCTGCATATGGACGTATTTAGTCGAGGTTGGGTTGTTTGTGGAGCCACCTAGGAACATATCGTAAGAAGTTGTTCATGAATGTCTCCCCATTAAACTTGATGGGATGTCACCATGATGTGAATTTTCCATTATAGCGTTAAAATCATTACACATTAATGTAGTTGGATTGTTAACTTGATCAGTTTGTTGAGCCAACTCATAGTGGGAGCATAATAACATATCACGAACAACACACACTTCAACAAATTTCGCATACATCTTTGTATTGACATATGAATAATGATTTTAAGAATCTACCATTATTGCAACATCATCATCGTTCGATAGTTCAAATGTTGTATAAGTTAACGGCAATGCCGATGTTGGAAATCTGTACTGAAACGATGACAATCTTCTAGTATTTACAATATGAACATTATTTGAAATCTTCGTCATCAGCTCCTCAAGAGTTATGTTTCTTTTTAATGATATTTTGACAAAATGATTTGATACGAACAAGATGCCGATTTTATCTTTCTAAATTTCTATATCATAGTAAACAATAACTGAAATAGACGTCATTATGAGAGTTTGAAAGATTGAGAGTCTTATATCTGCTAAAACAATAGTTGAAATACGCCTAATTAAATATATAGTCTATGTATTAAAATATAACCTAATAATTTTTTTAAAAAAAAACTCACGATACTTTAAATAATATAATTTTATATTGTTACCGTATCTATAAAAATATCTCGACGTATGATCATAATTTTTAATTTTACAACCGCAAAAAATAATAGAAAATAATTAATATAATATTTTTTAAAATAATCATATATAAAATAAAAATAATATATTAAAATAATTACATTACCATAAAAGATCGAATGAAATTGTGAAGCAAATATAGGAGGAATTGATGCGGTGATATTTACGGCTGAAGGGGTGTTATTTAGAGGCGATTGGAGAGTTTAAAAGACGAGAAATTCGAAACAAAAAATGAAAGCCGCATATGGTTATCTGCGTCTTACTGACACATGTCAGACTCCTCATAAAGGCACGGATGACGATTCACGTCTATCATTTCGTGGCGTTAACTTGGATAAGGCGAGGATGTTAACCCGAGCCATTCACGACGTGACACCAATTCATATAAAATCCCGTGAAAGTACAGACAATGATCCGCTACTTACTAAAAAGAATGATAGATCGATAAAAATTAATGAAATAATGTATGATTGATAATTAATTTATGTTCAGTGTGATTTTTTTTATAAAATCACCCCGGATCACAAAGTATGCTACTATACTTTTACTGTGGTTTTCAGGAAAATTACAGCAAAATCTGAGCGTTGCCACTGCCAAACGCCACATTTACATGTGTTTTTAGGGAACAAAAACACTAATAAAAGTGAAAACCCTGTCTCATCCGGGCGACACGAAGTGACTGAAAATAAAGCCCAAATTCATTGTCATTATTGTGTCACTCCACTTGTTTTATTCAAAAAGTATTTAAAATTTTAAACAGCTATCATATAGAAACATGCAACTGATTTTGTTTATGCATCTATTTGTTCAAACAAGAAGAAGAAGAAGAAGACGTTGATGATGATATCTGTCTGTTTGTTGTTTGACAAAACACATGATTTGAGTCTCTTATTGTAGTTAAATCAAGGAAAAACTAGAAAGCAAAACTTTCCATCTGATGATGATTGTTTTATGCTTTAGATTAGTATTATGGTAGCAGGTTAGAAGAAGTTGACAGAATAGAAAAGAAAAAAAAAAGGAGTGATAATAGGGCAGAGATTTCGGCTACCCGTTTTTTTTTTAGTTTCTTCTGAGTAATATTTTTCTATGTAGCACCCTTTCGGTTGAGGTGGCACAAAGACACATCTTCGGGGATGCGCTTTACCTGGGTTTATGCTAAGTTGGATGTCACGTGTGAAAGGCGCATCTCCGGGGATGCGCTTTCACGTGATTATGCTGGATCGAATGCCACGTGGGGAAGGCACATCCCCGAGGATTTGCCTTCCATTAAATGCCATAAATAATCCTATCCGTTTTCCCCCAACCACCTCTCCTCCTCCCATATATAAACCCCCTCAACCTCCTTCATTCTTTACATCAAAATTATATTATCTTCTCTTATATAACTCAAATTCTCCAACTATTTGAGTTTTAAATTTCTTATTAGTGGTAAGATATTTATTTTTAAGTTAGAATTATTTTAAATAGTTTTTATATTTTATAGTAATATAATTATATAAATATTAATTTTTATTAAAATAATATTTATATAATTATTATTTATATAAATTTATTAATTAATTATTTTTTGTACTAATTATATTTTTTTTGTTTGCAGTTATAATGGAAAGTGAAATGTCTGCAGATACAACGATCCTCATACGTGTTGTGCAAGAGGTATAAACCAAGATCATCCCAACTTGGACTCTAACATTATTTGCCAAGCAATCATGCCCATTGTGAAGCAAAGCTCTCATATAGCTGTTGCAGTGTTGATTTATGCTGTACAGTCACAATATGGGTACACCGTCTCCTATAAAAAAACTTAGTTGGTAAAACAGAATGGCATTTGCAAATTTTATGGCGAATGAGATTCCTCTCACAACGAGCTGTCCAGTTGGTTTCATGTTGTGCAAAGACTCAATCCCGGGACAATTGTTGAGTTTGGAACTCAACATCATTACGTGAATGATCGAGTGGTTTGCGATCGCTGCCAATTCTATCGTGTCTTTTGGACTTACCCACAGTGTATTAATGCAGTTAAGTACTGTAAACCAATTGCCAAAATTGATGGTACTTTATTGTATGGGAAATACAATCAAGTTTTATTATTGGTTGTGGTCAAAGATGAAAACCACAATATTCTTCATGTTGCATTTGCCCTCGTTCAAGAAGAAGATACTGAGTCCTGAGTTTTTTCCTTAAAAATTTATGTTTACATGTTGTCACCAAGGAACGAGTATGCATTATTTCAGACCGAGAAGCCGGGATAAAAGCAACAATGGAGTCTCTGGGTACAATGTATAGACCTCCACATGCTCAACATTGTTATTGTGTCCGTCATTTTGCTGCAAACTATTACGGAAAATACAAGAAGAACGATGAACGTTAGTTAGTCGTGCGGATGAGTATGTTACTTTTTCCCAATTTTTCTATCATTTTCGTATTACTTATTTATATTTCATATTAACTATTACATATTCCTAATGACTTAGGTTACGAACTCTTACCTCAAAGGTTTGAGTCTATGCTACAAGAGCTGTTTGGCAAAAATAAGAAGGGGTGCGAGTACATTATGTACATCAACAAATAAATGTGGACAAATCTGTATGACGGGGGGTATCGCTATGGTCATATGACAACCAACTTGGTTGAAGCAATAAATTCAACCTTAAAGGGGGCGCGTCATTTACCAGTCATGGCGTTGGTTAAAACGACTTATTTTCGTTTGGGTCAACTCTTTGCAAATCTTGGTGGACAAGCTCTTACTTTGATGCAAAACAACCATATTTATCACCCAAGACTAGTAGTTGATTTACAGAAAAAAATGGTTGCATCAAATGGGATATTGGTTACAAATTTTTCTCGCACACGTGAATTGTTTCGTGTAACCGAAATGCAAATTCCGCTGCAAGGGATTGAAGCTAACTCTTTCAGAGTTAATATGCAAGAGAGGTGGTGCGATTGTGGTTTCTTTCAAGCACTCAAATATACATGCTCTCATGTCATTGCAGCTTGCTCACATTCGCATTTGGACTACAAAAATTATGTTGATCTCGTATACCAACTTTCACAAGTATTCAAGGTATATGAATTTGAGTTTCCGCCCATAGGAAACGAAAGAGGCCCATAGGAAACGAAAGAGACTCAGATTAGATTCAAAGTTGGCTTACAATTGTACTAGATCCATTGCTTTTGAGGGACTCAGGTCGTCCAAAATCTACTAGAATACATTGTGATATGGATATTCGGGATAAGTCAACAAAACAAAAACGATGTGACCATTGTAGAAACATCGAGCACAATATAAAAAAATGTCCAGCTCTGTTATTATCACATAACAATTAACCTTTATGTAATTAATATTCTATTTAAATGAATGTTTTTGTTTCTAATATTTAAATGTAATTGCATTTTCTATAATTTCTCAATGTATGTACACCTAAATATTTTTTTTAATTTTTATTTAAAAATTATTTTATGATATTTATTTAGTATAATAATTAATATTATTTATTATAAAAAATTAATTATTAATTTTAAAATATTATAATAATTCTACCTTCTAAATATAGAAAAAATGTTAAAGTAAACCAATTAAAAGTAAGACTAAATTGATAAAATATGTAACTATTGAAGATTAAATGTGTAATTTTACTAATTTTATTAACTTATGCATCAATATTTTCTTTAAATATTGATAACAAATGACTAGATTGATTACATTAAATAATTAAGTGATAAAATTAATAGATCGATAATCAAAAAATAATAAATATATAACAATTCGTGTAATATTATAATTTCATATATTTTTCCTATAACTACAATAAGATCAAAGCTGGTTTTCATCTATTATTTCATCCGATTAATGTCGCGTGGAATGAGTGAATGTCAAAGTCTCTGAAACATATAACACTAAAACCTAAATTCGCTATATCTTTAACACACATTTAAAAAATACATTCGATGATTCTTAAATTATAATCAAAACACTTTACATAATATATGAATTATTTATAATAATAATAAAAATAAAATCTTTATTATTAAAACAAATACCAGCGTGACATCTGATTCAACAGAACCCATATAAAACACATCTCCGAAAATACACCTTTCACACGTGGCCTCCTACTTAGCATAAACTTAGATAAAACACGTACCTAAAGATACGTCTTTGTGTCACCTCAACCGAAAATATACTATTTCGAAAAATATTGGTCACAGATGTTAAAACGAAAAAAAAAAAAAAAAAATGGGTCAGGTCACCATTGATTTCTTCCCCTAAATTCTAAAAGAGTTCACAAATTCAGAAGGTATTTAATGATAGCTAATCCCATGGGAAAGAGAGGAAAAATTGCAGACCACATGGGTTGATGCGCTGATTAAAGGATAGTCTATAAGTAGCCCTGCCCTGTTCCTAATAGTAGCCCTTTGTCCTCACTTCAACGACTACTACTGCTGCTGCTTGTTTTCACAACTGTTGCTGTTTTCTTTTTTTAATGAAGGAAACAACAAACGAAATACAAATCAAGCAGGGAGAGATCATAAGAAAACAGAAGCTTGAATTTGGCCAAAATGAAAAAAAAAAACGAAATAGCTGCCCGTAGGAATATGCTGTTGGCGGGTGTATGGAGATTCTTAAACTTTCACAATTATGTTGTTTGATTTGGTGGGAATAAAGATAAGTTTAATTGCAGGTTGCGGGAAGACTGGGGAGAGTATCCACCAGCAGTAACAAAACAGTGATGAAGATTGCTGCAAATCTACTCAACTGCCGAATCACACATAGTAAAAACAACTGAAATCCAAGGAGTGAAGAAAACAGAAAGTGAGGGCTCCATTTGCAAGCATGGAGACTGGCTGGAAGCTTTAATTTGAATCATTTGTATTATTGCTGTCATGTTTATCAAATCATATATCATTGAATACGGTCTAAGATACAAGGATAACGGGGCCTGCAATGCAATGCCTAGGTTTGTATGCAAAGGTAGAAGAAGAAAAAGAAGAGACACTCACATGAACCTACTACGTATCAACAAGGTGGTGTTATAAATTCCTTTCAATCCTATTCCTGCGTCTAGTAAGGATTTCATGTGTCCATGGACCAGGAAAACGATACGTACACACCACACCCAATTTTATTTTGCAAAGCAATCATGAAATGGAGAAATTACTTGGATTTCCCTGCAAAGTATAAGATTAAAATCAATATGCTCTGAGTCCAGTAGTTCATCTCTGGTTTAATAAAGTAACAAGCAAGACAAAAAGAGATGTAAAAATCTGGTGCAAAGAAGATGGATTAGCAATGGCATAAGGTACAAGTAGGAATCAATGAAGATGAAAGTGGGTTAAGGAAAGTGAAAACTTTCCTGTGACAAGCCCAACATGTAGCGTTGATAAGAAATCAGATTAACAATGATACATGACATGGATTGTTGGCCTCCTTGAAGCCCGCCTCCCTATATTTGTTGCTTTTATTTTATATTTCTTGGATCGAAATCCATAACTTTTCCACATTCTTATTATTCATATTTAAGATAATGATAGATAATACGCAATATTTATTATCTTTTTCATGAAAATGATAATCCTCGTTTATTTTCTCATTACTCATTTTCTTAATTAATCATTGGTATCGGATCTATTGACCGACTAATCCAGAGTGTATACTGCAGAGACGAGGACGACCCTCCAATCCAATTTACTCTATTCGCAAACGCCAAGATTCGAACTCCTAACATTGTTTAAGAGACCTAGTGCCTCATCTCACTAGAACAACTTACTCGTTTTCAATCAGTAATTATAAATACATTTCATTTTTCAACTTGATGTTAGATAATATAACACTTTATCTCTATTTTCCTTTTTTTCTTTCTAATTTTCTTTACAGTACCGAATGCAACCTCCGTTGAATAATCACACAAATTCAAAGAAGGAATAATTGGGATACGAAATTTGCCTTCAAGTTGGTGGGCTAATTGGGACCCATAAATCCGAGAAGGAGGAGGAATAAATGTATAATGAATGAATAGTGGAACCCAGCCCCATGCACGCATGATGGCTTCTAAACTCTCCACCGTTGAGCCCAATCCCTCGGGCTCCACCACTCGCTTCATTTTGCACTATCGGTCCCACCACAAGCCGCTAATTGAACTGATACGGACACGGGCTGTTTTCATCATCATGACACCGCGGGAAAGTGTTTTACACTTTCCCGTGGGAAATGAAACGCCGCTGGGTTTTCAATGTCTCTCGTGGAGAGATTGAATCAGGGCCGTCGAAGCACTTCGTGTCCACAACCTGACGGGTGATGGCTCGCCTAAGTACACGTGAATTTTGTCACGTGGCGTCTAATGGTGTACTTGTCCCGTCGAGCGCGGATTTGGGGGAAAAGCCCACTGGTTTGTTTATGCCAACTCTACGGTCTGTTTGGCATGAACTAATTTTCGCTTAAATTACACTGGTGCTCAATAAATTTTATTTTCTTTCATATTTTACTCATCGTACCTTTAATTTTATATTTTACTCACTGAATTTTATATATTGAATTATTTTTCTCTCTGTCGTTATCTCTCTAACAACGTGATAACATGTCATTTTATTATTATTATTTAATCTTAAATTACAGTGTTCCTCATTGAATTTTATTTTCTCTCATATTTTGCTCACTTAACTATAAAATAGAAACAAAAAGTGGTCGAATACCACTGTCGACGGTCATTGATGGTGGTCGTTCGATCCCAAAATTCATGGGTTGGTTTGTCTCGACCCCCTGAGTCTGAATCTGGTGGTTATTTCACCGGAAAATGTCTCAAAATCCATGAATCTCTACTGAAACGTTTTAACTTCCTCACTTTCAATTTTCAATCATAGACTTCGGAGCAAATTCCGACTAAATATAGGTTGGATTCAGACTCAATGTGTTAAGGCGAAACGAATCATGAAATTTAAGACCAAACAATTACCATCTACGACGGTCGACGGTGACTCCCAACCACCTTCTATTCTATTTTATAGTTGGGTGAGTAAAATAGAAGAGAGAGTAAAGTTCAGTGAGAAACGGTGTAATTTACCCTTTATATTTTTAAATTATTTTATATTAAATAAATAAAAAAATGACACGTAATGCATTAAAACTCAAAACCAGCAATTCAATTAGAGCAAGTACCTAGCCCTCAAGATTACTGCTAGAAAAAATCCGTCTATAGCACCCAAAGCTGGTAACTTTAGCCTAACAATCTCTTTCAACCTAACAATAATACTCAAGGCTGAAATATCACTGTTACGAAACATCCTACAATTTCGCTCCTTCAAAATCAAAGAAGTGGCACAATTCCAAGACAATTTCAAGTCTAAGAACAATAAAGACTTACCCTGCAACCTACAAGCCCACTCAAGCTCCCAGTCGCAGCAGAGAAGCGAGGTCCCAAAAAATTACAATCATCCAGGTCTTTAGCTTAATTATAAAAATTTCCTTAAATTTTATAAACGTTTCATTTTAGTACCAAAATGTTGTTAAGGAGTTCATCATCAATACGGGTATTCAACTCATGGGTCTCACACTCGAAGGATTTATCTCCGGAGCCCGAATCACTGTACCAGATTTCCATACCCCGAGCCATTTCGTTTACAGTTTCGTGTTCGAGCTCCATTTCTGCAGGGCGGAGCGACGGTTCGAGCCGTAGGATGATGAGGGCGGTGTCGGAGACTGATTTGAGTGATCTAGTAGTCCCCAAGATAAAAACCACCAAGAATAGAAGCGGGTTTTTGAATGGGAAATGCGTCGAGGAGGAAGAGGTGGAGAAAAATGAAGATCGTTTTCAACGGTGGAGAACTGATTCGCATGGGTTGGAGGAAGAATTTGGGATAGGCGGTGGTGGGGGAAAGATCTGTTGCGGCGGCGGCTTTGGTGGTTCCGACAGTGACGATAACGAATGGGGGTTTTGGGATTCGAATAACGGAATTGATGTTACGGATTTGCATTATCGGAAAATGATCGAAGCTAATCCTGGAAATTCACTTCTCCTAGGAAATTACGCGAGATTTTTAAAGGAGGTAAGCTAATTTATTGACCGATTTAATTCTTTATTCAGAAAATAAAGCTCGTACAACGAGTTTCGAATTTTGAGTTGGATCTAACGTCGTAATTCGGGACAGATACGGGGGGACTACGTGAAAGCCGAGAATTACTGTGCGAGGGCGATCTTGGGAAATCCAAATGACGGGAATGTTCTGTCCATGTACGCCGATCTGATCTGGGAAACCCACAAAGATAAGCGGAGAGCTGAATCTTACTTTGAGCAAGCCGTTAAAGCCGCCCCCGACGACAGGTGAATACCCCTAAACTAACTTTTAAGCAATGGATTATTCTCATTTATAACAAACTGCACACCATTAACTAGAAATTTATTATTTGTGATGAATTTGCAGTTTTGTGCTAGCATCATATGCACGATTTCTCTGGGATGCTGATGATGAAGAAGATGAAGTTGGGGAAAATTTGAGTGAAAGATTGGAGCAGAGCTTTCACCATGGAGCTCCTCCAATGCCGTCACCTTTGGCCGCTGCTTCTTAAGACTAGCTGTGACATAGCTTTGTATTTAGCTTTTTTGAGTTGTGTTAATATGCACTTTGTTTCTTTTGACCCTTTGTATAAATGATGAGATTTGTAGTACTTGAGAGCGCTTATCATCGTTGAAGCCCGTCCATATCCTTGTAAATGGGGAAATAAAATAAGGAAATGGTTTCTTCATTCATTGGAATCTCTCTAATGGTGTTTGCTTATATAGTGATATTTAATAGATTATTTATGAATAATCGAGTGACCTATAAACTTTGGTTGGATTAGAAGGGAAGTCAAAGTTAAAATATAGAGAAAGGATAAATCTATTTCTCGTCGATGAAATTAATAATTTTAAAATTATAACCTTTCATGATTAATAATAATAATAAATTAAAATATGTTAACGGAACATCAATATTAATGATAAAATCATAATTACAAATGTTATTTATTAACAATATGTCAACATAAAAATGTTTATCTCTCGTAAAATATATTATATTATTTTGGTAGAATGTACTCTTTTACTCCATCTAGATTTAAGAAGTTTTTAATAGGACATTTTAATTTTGGTTTTATTTGCTGAGGAAAAAATCATTTAAAATTAGAGTAAGGTGTTTGAAAGTTTTAAATTTTATAATTCAGGATTAAAATAAATTTAAATAAATTTATATATTTTCTATTCAATGTGTATTAAATAATATTGATCACTTGTTTCCAACCCTTTAGAATTTTTCATTATGTGATATTTTAGTTTTCTAGGCATGCGATATTATTAATATTTAGTCTTTACCATGTCTTATAATTGCAAAAATAATGGAATAAAATATAAATGGGAAAAACTGACATTTTTCGAAATTCAAAATATTTAGGATAAAGTACACAAACGGTTCCCCGACTATTAGGTATTATTTTATTAAGTCATTTGACTATTAAAAGTTATAAAATGGTCATTTGACTATAGAGTGTTGCTTTGTTAAGTCACTAGACTATCAAAAGTTACAAAATAATCATCTGGAAATTCATTATGTTCTAAACTTGTACTTTTCCATTAAAAAATTTGATATTCTAAGATCAGATTTTATCATATCAAGTCAGCAAGTTAACATTCAACACATAGTAACGCCAAATTTTAACGGAAAAGGACGAGTTTGGAAAATAATAAATAGATGGGTGACCATTTTATAACTTTTGATAGTCGAGGGACTTAATAAAACAACACTCTAAAGTCGGAGGACCACTTTGTAACTTTTAATAGTCGAGAGATTTAATAAAATAATACCTTATAGTCAATGGACCATTTGTGTATTTTACCCAAATATTTAAGAAGTTTTTCTTTTCTGAATTTTTTCGAAATCAAAATTATGAAATATAATATCAATAATTAGTTAGTTTAATATGACGAGACATTAAATTTTTTAAGCAATGTCAGAGATTTGAATCTTAGTGTTTGTAAATATAATAAATTGAGTTGAAAGAATCGCTCTTGCTTATGCAATATCTGACCTGAATTATTCAATTAATATATTGGATACCGATGATTACAATAACAATATTTTTTTTTGGATAATTCAATTGTAGATTAATCCAAAGAAAACAACAAAGTTGCTACATCATACAGTCAAACATATCCAAATCAAATCCCCACCTATTACATAGAACAAATTTCACCCCATCAAGCCTATCGATGGAACAAACCTACAAACGAATTTTCACAACCACCTTAAAACATTCAACAATTTCCTCAATAGACCTAACAATCCCTCGAAACTACCTAGAGTTACGTTCTTCCCATACAAAATACAAAAACCACACCCCAAGTCAATTTGAGGATACAAACTATAAGCAACTTACCTTTGAGTTTTTCAACAATCCATTGCAAAGAATTATTCCAATCAGTTATATTCCACTGCAGATCGCAAAACTGCAAGATCCTGGTCCAAATTTCATAAGAGAACTGACATTCCATGAAAAGATGATCCCGAGTCTTAACATGAACCCCCTCACATATTACATATACTATCCATTGTCACTCTTATTCTTGCAAGTCTCTCCTTGGTAGGAACGCTTTCCAAGATGATCATCCAAGCCACAACCCTATGCCATTTTACCTTGAGGCTCATGCTTTTAATCCTATCCCAAATCTACCAATTACAAACCATTGCCCAACTCACACCACCTCCAAACAAAACTCTAACCTCATCTTTCATCTTCAATAGTCTCCTCAAGGTCCAACTAAAATGAGACATGCTATCAACCTGTCAATAATCAACACCTTTAAAAATATACATGTTGATCTAGGCCAACCTAACAGAGCCTTCCCCGACAAGGATATATTTAATGAGTTGAAAACTGCACGTACGATTCCAACACAGTAAATCGCTAAGCCCAAGGCCTCTCTAAGCTTTTAATGAGCAAATTTGCTGCCAACCAATTCGATCACCACCCTAGGCAGGATCATCTCAATCCTTATAGAAGAAACACATACACATCTGCTTGATCCTTCTAATAACCCCCTTAGGAAGAATAACTTGCCTGCACCAGAAGTTAGAAATGTTAAATAGAACAACTATAATCAACTGTAGCCTACCAACATAGCTGAAAACTTTCATCGACCAAACACCAAGTTTCTCCCTAATCTTAACAATCAAGGGATAACAATCTTTCTCATTAAACCTTCTAGTTGCCATTGATATACCCAGATACCTCACAGGTAGCATGCCCTACTTAAAATCTGTCATGCTTTGAATTTCACTAGAGACATTGCTCCCAACACCACAAGAAAATAACGATAATTAATTTTATGCATTTGATTGGAAATGAGTAAAGACATATAATAAGAAAAATAATGACAATTTGTTAAATAGTTTAAGAAAAAAATGTATGAAATACCTCGTGTGATAACGTGGGATGTGCCTATTAGAACTGGTCCCACAATATTATAAAAAATGGGCTTCCTAGTAAAAAAAAGGTGTCTAATGTATGCCTTTTTTTCTAGTTTGGTGTCTAATATTTTTTTCGGTTCAATTTAAGACGAACGTTTTATTTTGTAACTCACTTTGGTGTCTGGGTCATGATGGGCAGTTAATTTGGGAAGTTAAATGGCACATGGCATGGGTGTAATAATAAAAAACAAATTTTGTAATTGAAATAATAATAAATGAATTAATTAAAATTGAAAAAAAAGAAAAAGAAAAATTATTTACCTTTAACCCTAAGTAATTTTCCCTCTCTTCCATTTCCTTCTCTTCCCGGCCACTCTCTTCCCATGCTTCTCCACCATTTTTTTGAAATTTAATTGAAGAACCCTAAATTCATAAATATAATTTGTTTTTGTGATTACTGACTACACATTTTGCATTCAAATTTCCACACAAAAGAAATTCAAATTCCATATGTAGAAGAACGTTTTAACCCAAATTTTGTTTTGGTCAAGGAATCAATAAACCATGGTTTCCGATAAGGAAAAGATCTCGTCCTCATTTTTTTTGAGAAAATTGATGACTCCTCTTTCGGGAGAAGAAACACCTCTAATAGGTGAGCAGAAGCCGTAATCATCATATCCAAAGACATTGGCCAATGTTTTTATAGCCATAGTTGGTGCCAACGTTTTAGGAATGCCTTACGCTTTCAAGAGAATTGAATGGATCATGGGCTTGCTCATTATTTTCTTCATTGTTGGTTCCACCACCTACTGTATGTTGCTTCTGGTTTAAATCCATCGTAAACTCGACTGAGTTTACAATGGCATCGTTGAAGTTAATTCTTTTTACGATCTGGGTTTCACTGTTTGTGGCACCTCTAGCAGGTTTTGTTGTTTTTAATTACGTTTTGAATTATTTCTTAGATTTAGATTCTCTTTCTTTTATTTCTTACATAATCTTCTGGAATTTTGGCTGATCTTAAAGGTATTCATAATTAGTTTTACATTGGATTATGCCATGCTTATCATTTGAAGTTCTTCAACAATGAAACGAAAATGCACCAATAATTTTCCTTTTTTCTAGAAAAAAGGGTGGGGAAGAATGGGAAGAGACTAACGAGGAAGAGAAAGAAGGGAAGAGAAAGAAAATTACTTAAGATTAAAGGTAAATAGGTTTTCTCTCTATTTTTAAAATTTTTTCAATTTAATTAATTATTTTGTTATTATTTTAATTAGAAAGCTTGTTTTTTTACTAATATACCCATGTCAGGTGGCATTTAACGGTTTGTCACGGTTGGCACTAAAGTGAGTTAGGGAATGTAACGTTCGTCCCAAATTAGACCAAAAAACATTATACACCAAACTGGAAAAATAGACCTACATTGGGCACCTTTTCGACTATTAAACCAAAATGTATTGAACAAAAAATCAAAAGCGTCGAGAAAGGCATGCTTTCGTAGTTCAATAGGTAGGCGTGCTTTCGTAGTTCAGTAGGTAGAATGAGTGAGACGCGTGATTATGCGTGCTGAGATAGAATAAGAGAGTGTTGAAGAATCGGGTAAAGAAAACGAAAGAACATAATAATTTTTAACGAGGTTCAGCAATGTGCTTACGTCTTCGGTGCCTAGACGGTGCTAGAAGTTTTATTCAATATCTCATAGGTTTAGGTTACATCTCTATATATAATAAAAAAAATACCTGGTATATAATCACATAATTAATCCTGTACAGTACCGCTCCATCTTCTGTCCTCTTTATCGGTATATTTATGAGTCATACCTAATAGAGAGATAAAAAGAGACTCAAATCAAATGGAGAGACACAGACCGTGGCGTCTGAGGCAAGCTAAAGAGAAAACCACCGCGTCGACCACCGGTCACACCGTATGCCCATCCTCAGCAGAACCAATCCTTTCGCGGCTGCTTTCTATCCAAACTGTTCGATCCAGCTTACCGTCCTATAGCCGGCGGCGCTACTAGAATCTTCCCTTCTCTCTTCTCGACACCTTCCAATGATTCGCTCCTGCATTCAGAACCCCAAACTCACGTTTTTTTTAATATTGAAAAAAGGAGTCTCTTCGTTGGAACGTTTCTCTTCTTGGTGATTAATGGGGTTTTTATTGGTCGAATGTATCTTGTGTTACTTGCTGCATATTCATGATGTTTGAACTAAACCATGAAAAATGATTTCCATTAATGAAGAATTTGAACTTGTAAGTACTTGTTTGCAACACATCCCAACTTAAAAGGCTTGTGTTATCTAACACTCACCCCAAGTTAAGAGTAGTTAGGCTTGTAGAAACCCTTGCATTTGCTTTTGAATTAAAAAATTTGAAACCATACCATTTGTTCCATTGCCTTCCCCTAAGTCGTCCACATGCTGGCCAGGTTCCATGGTAAAGGATCAGCGTGGTTATCCAACACCGAACAGTTAAAGAAGCAGATTTTGGCTTCACAATATTCCAAGAACCCCTTACTCCAGAACTATTCATTCAAAATCTAAATTGAAGGTGTGGAAATTTAAAATTTTGCATTGTATTTGATTGATTGGATGAGAAACATTTTGCATCTTCCTCCTTGCTTGTAACCAGTTGGATCATGTACGAGACGAGAGTAGTGATTTACTGAATGGTTCATTCTCCCCCTTGCAGCGAGCACAAACTCTATATATGGGCAGGTACTTTTTCATGATTAGCACTCATGAATCTGATTAGCAGAATAAAGTGCAGGAGGATTAGCACTAACTTCGTGTCTTATTTGTCAAATTTGCCTAGGTCTATCATGTACTTCAACTTTTGTTATTTATGTGATTTATTCTTTTTGTTTCTTTTTCCTCCTAAGAGTTCATATGTGTACATCAAAGAATACTATACCAATCAATTAATTGGACAGGATCACTCAAAGGTCACTGTTGCAGTGGTGCTCCTGAAAAGCCTTCTAAGTCCTTAGGGAATAAACCAATTTGGGCTTCTATTTCTGTCAGCAAGCCGGAGCAAAGGTGGATGTTTAGTTCCGGTAATAGCACTGGTTTTACTTTCTCTGTTTCTGCAACTTCCAGTGCTTGTTCTGAGCCTCCAACACCATCCATCGTGCCGTCACTACCGGGTAGCAGTCTGCATCAGCCCAAAAAGGAACATAACATTCAGGACCTTCGTATAGCTTTGGCGGCTCAGGCAGACTGTCTCCTTCCCTTGTTTTTTTCTTTCCCTTCATCAAGCAATGTCCCTAACCATGTTGATGCTTCAGATATTACGTTCAACTTCGGATCTCATAGGTCGTCAAGTATGACTTTCATTTCAATAAGAAAAGATACCATATGCTACTGCTAGAAGAATGATATTATTTACCATTTTGAGTGACGTGGGAGTCCAAATTTGATCGGTGAGAATCTCAATTAGTTATGCACCATTACCTTATTACAGGAGAAAGAATCATCTAAAGCTAAAATCTAGATTAACTTAAGAGAACCAACATGTTGAATGCCCGAAAAAGGCTTGCAACAAAAACTTTATAATTGGTTCATTGTGAATCTGCTACTATCTCGCATTATTGGATAGGGCATGCTTTGTGGATTAGGTGGACGTGGAGGGATAGATGCTCACACATTGTAAAATCCCGAGGTCACTCAATAGGCATGTAAACCTCAGTCCTCTACTCAGTTTAGTTATTGTATTCTACCAGTTGCTGTTGTTTGTGGTACTTCCCTAACAAATCTTAATCTAGTAAACAGATTCATAAGCCTACCACTTGATGCTTTTTGTGGCATATGACATGCCTAAGAGTCTCTTTTTCTTCAACTAATCAAACAACATGGATCAGTTAAGGGGTTTCTTTCATATGCAATTCAAAGGGAAAAAGTGTGGGTGTTTACGGATCGGAAGTGGGTGGTCTACAATAGAGCAGTGGGAATGGAGGTGACCACATTTCCACTTCACCGGTTGTTTTCAGAGATGCCCTAATTGCTGTCTCTCTGCATATATAATGCGTCTCCTCATTTCATGAATCAAAGTGATACTGTTCACCACAAAAGTAAATTTAATGATTCTGATATAAAAAGCACCCTAAAATCATTTTTCAGTCAAACAGGTTGAATACAAAAGAAAAAAAAATCAGAGATTGGAAATACACAACCATATATTTATGAAGTTCAGTGCTTTTTCTTTCTTGGAGATTCTGTGCATGTTGAGATGGAGCAAAACAGTGGTCCAAATACCACTTTTCACATTGGTGTAGCTCTATGCTTAGACAGACAGAGACTTCTCCTAGATATTTGCTTTCCAAAATTAATATTTTTCCTTTGTAACATTAAATATGTCTCTTTTAATTTTTAAAATTTTCCTATTCAAAGTGTATTATTAGAAAAGTCAACAAACAACAACACTTATATTTTCTTTTTTATCCTTATATCCCACTATTTTATACTTGTGAAAATAAATCTGTTAAATTTATTAATCACTTTTTATAGATAATTTTACCATTTATCTTGGTTAAATATATCTCCTAAAACTATACGCATAATTAGTATCACACAAATAATATGACGGTAAATGACCCCCAAATGAAGGAGTTGCTTCTTCTTTTTCTCCCCTTCCATTCAGTCTTGCAATAATTCAATGGATTTAAGTGCTTTGCCAATGAAATTGATACATGCAACTTGTCTTTCCCTCTCCTCCTCCATGCACGATCAATTTTATTTTAAGGTGAGTACAATCAATTAAATAAGTAACTAACTGAAAAAAATTAGGTTATGAATAAAGGCTGGATCCACCACTGTTTGTTGGGATTTGAGAGCAAGCAAAGTGAGTTCAATATTTGTTTAACGTAGTAAGTTATCAATATTTATTTTTTTGATACCATGTCAAAATTATTTATATTTCATTTAAAAATATTAAGTGTTTAAACGTATCCGATCACACGTTTTTTTTATATATATTATACTTGTAATTATATCAATCGAATTAAACTCAATCAATAATATAATATTTTCAGATAAAAAAATATTTTATCGTCATTAGAGATAACTAATGGAACCACATATTGACCCTATGCAAGTCAAGTGGCTCATTATATGATCACACTAAATTTGAATAGTCCTTAAAATAGGTCTAATGTCAAAGTCGCTATTAATTTAGATGATTTTATTATAGGATAATATATGATAAACTGGTATCGTCTCTAAATGGTTGTTACAAAATCTTAATATAATTAATATATCAGGACTAAATGTTGCATAAAATATTAAATAAGAAGTCTAATTACTAAAGATTCTGATTTTTCACAAAAAATAGACAAGTATATTCCCACGCACTAGTTAACGATCACAATGCTAGGCAAAGTAAAGCTGATCAGTTGTAAGTAAATAATATTACTTCATACAATAAAACTAAAGATATAAATTCAGGTCCCTGAAGAGAAAACACATCGGATCAACACTATTGTTCACTTCAAATTTCAATCCACAGCATGAAAACACAGTAATCACTTATTGAGCAGTACAGTCCTTGACATGTGATGCTTGTCAGAGGCCTGTTATAAATCATTTAATTAATAGAGTTCAGCATTGCTAATCTCAAATATTACTTGGTATATATATATATGCCTTTTAACAAGAAGTGGATAAACTACTTACATCATCCACCTTAGTTTTGATTGTTGGTTTCCAGCATCAGTCCAAAATGGATGTGAGGGAAGTGCGCCCACTGTAAATAGGAACCAAAACAAGTGAGTGAATGACAAAAATTGTTGGGATTTTTGCAGCCTTGAAAAGAACTACTTACATTCTTGGCAGCAGTGCTGAATGCTTCCCTGTGACTTATTTCAGGATTGTTGGCCTTGATCCTTTGGATCTCCTCTCTACAACATTCCATAATTAAGTAAAGCATGCAACGATTACACAAATTAATAGTGTGTGTAATGTGAATGAAATTCATTAGGGTTTACGCACTTTATGAACTGGTTGTATGCAGAAGGTACTCGCTGCCTCTTCCCGGTAGCTGAAAAGGAGAGAGAGTATAATTTAGATACAAACCACGAAGAATTTGATCAGATGATCAAGAAAAAGTGGGTGAAATCACGTTGGTTGACGATCCTTTCTTCAGAGACGACATTTTTAGCAGGAGATTGCATCGGAGACCTGTTGCTTTTGGATGACGAACCCAAATGAGTTGTCCTACAATCCTGTCTTGCATAATTGGGTGCCTGTGAAGAGAAAACATCAATCAAGGAAGATAACACATCTTCTCTTTTGATGGGGTCCTTTCAACCTTATGGCGTTTGCTTTCCTCTTTAGCATATAAGAAATTAATGCGCGAAATTAATGCAAAACTCACAAAGCTTTCCCTTTTATAGTTCTAGCATTTATTTGCACAGTTCTTGGGAAGAAATCACTAGACCAAAGAACCCTAACTCACATGTCAACCAAATCAAGGTACCCGAAAGCAGACCTTACAAGGAAAATGAGAAAACGGCTCGAGAGAGTTAAAAAATCTTTAAAACGGATGACAAAATCTTGACCTATAGAAAACAAATAAAATAGGTTTTGATCATGTCGACTGCGAGCTAGGGTTTCAGCACTCTGCAACTTTTTTAATGGAGTAGGTGTTGGAAAAAAAAACTTTTAGTAACATCTCTTTATAATTACTACTACTTCAAGAAGCCCTAGATTTCAGAGGCTTTGAAGATTCTGAAATAGACACGTATTATATTTATTTATATCACCTGAACCTCTTGCCAGGAAAGTGACTGAAATGCCGCTGCCATGTTTACGGACCATAGATTGGTGCAGTGCCCGCATCGGACGGTCACAATATCAAACAGGCTGCTGCATGGAACGCTCACCTGCGCATTAACCCCATAATTAGAAGCTAGTATACTTGAGAGAAAAGTTGTGTTATAATATGTAGTAAGAAACAAAGGAAAAAGAATCCCTGATCAGCTAAGATTCTGAACAACTGGGTTTTCTTGACGATATGTTTTAGCTAGGTCAGTAGTGTAATGGTCAATGGTTTTTTTTTTATGATTTTTCGCGGCTGATTTAAGCTGCAGTTTTCTTTGTCCATGGTATCGTGTTCATCGCAAATTGCGAAGATGATGGATAGTAAGACCGTAATACTGTAACAAAGGGAGCATGGGTGGGCTTCTTAATGTGTTTGAGGAGGGTGCTTTCTGGGAAATTATCAAAGGTACAAAGAATCTTCATATTTTTTCCTTTCCCCATTAGCTAAAGAAACCGAGTTAGCCAAGGAAGAAGGTTGTTGCAATATTTTAAGCAAGGGAAAGCTATTCAACAACAGCAGTGAAGCAAGGGAGTTGAGGTGTTCTCCTCATCAAATTATCAACAAAATGCCAGTGTTTGAACTTTGGACGTTGAGAATTATTTTACCAAAAACAACATAATCATAGAAATAAAATAAAAAACTAGTAAAATCTAGCTAACGCTAAGCCCTTCCCTCTCCTCTCCTCTTCACCCCTCTTTGCATTTTATGTCTTTTCTTTGACTGCAAAAGAAGAAGAAAAAGAAGAGTCCGACGATGGAGACTTGACTGGTAAGTGGGAAGAGAAAAACAAGAAACCCCAGAAAACAAAATCAATAGATCTCAGTAAAAAGAAAACGAAAGAGCACTGATAGCAGATGCAAGGACCAGCTTGGTTCCGGGACCTAAAAAGAAATCTTCGTATGATATATAACTATATATACATGGAGAACAAAAATACCAAAACCAAAATATGCATAAAATAAAAGTGGAGATCTCTCCAATTTTTTTTTTTTTAAAAAGAAGAGAAATATGATATGAGATACCGCAAGGACTACGTTGCAAAAGTTGCAAGGGATGTAGCAGAGTTGCTCAGGCGCAACATCGATGCAGGTCGACATGTCTTCCAAGTTCCAAGTTAAAAAAAAAAGATTTAAAACAAAGCTAAGAGCAACCTCTAAGTAGAAAGCTGGAATCAACAAATAAAAACCAATAAAAATAAAAAGGTAAAGTAAAGAGAACCAATCGTGCTTCGCTGCAACAAGTAGCAATAAACCACAAGAAGAAAGCAACTCTTGGAAGGGCCCCCCCCCCCAACACAAAAAAAAAGGTTCTATTCCCTCAACTCCTTACTTTTGATATCACAACAGTAAACGAAATGTTCTTTATATAATAGAAAATTCTTATTCGGAGAGAGAATCAGATATCCAAACTAGATAGACAAGCCAAGCCAATATGAAAAGGCTATTTTATTTTTAAACGAGCTGGTTCTCCACCTATTCGCCTAACCCTCTAAATAGAGAATAATCACGTTAAATCGGACAGGACTACGAGAGTGGCAACTTTTGAACTCAAAATCTTCATTAAAATAATGTTGTTGTGTTTTTAAGGATTCGAACTCAATCTTATTAAGTTCAAATAATTCGCATTAGTTAATCTAAATACATTCTAAATTCTACAAGAGAAAATATAGGATGATTTCTTTTGGGATATAGTTTAAGTGAGCTTTTTATCGTGAAAAAATTTAATTCAGTTGAACCGGGGTGTCTTATTTTATTAGGATAAAGTACATAAATAGACCATTTATTAATTATAGGTTACTATTTTATTAAATTCCGCAACTATTAAAAATTGTAAAATGGTATTTCGACTATAGAATGTTACTTTGTTAAATCACTCGACTATTAAAAGTCACAAAATGATCACTCCGACTATTTATTATGTTTCAAACCCGTTCTTTTTTCGTTAAAAAAATTTGATGATTGTCTAAGCTGGACAATAATATGATGGCTGAGATAGGATAGTCATTTGAGATTCTAGGATCATATTTTATCATATCACAGTCAGTAAGTTAACGTTCAACTCATAATACCGTCAATGATGTAACAGAAATGACGAGTTTAGAACATAATGAATAGTTGGGTAACCATTTTATAACTTTTAACAATCAAAGTACTCACAAAGCAATACTCTATAGTATTTTTCGTAATTTATACACTTACTATGAATCATTTGATTTCATATATTGAAAATTTCAGCCCCTTTGATTTATATTATTTAATTAAATAATTAAACCCTATTACTTTGATTAAAATACACCACATTAATTAATTGAGTTTAATCGATAGTTAACCTTTATAACTAAACATTCCTTCCATGCATGAGTTTCACACGACGTCATACAAAGTCCAAGCATGTTCTTATTTGTGTGAGTTAAAAGAAAGGGTCTTCCTTGGATGTTTTTAGAAGTTCAACATTTATTTGAACATTTAACCAATTAAATAGATCATATAAGCATTTTAATTTTGTTGGGTTTGAAAATAGGGAACAAAAAACTTTCGCCTCCTTCAATGCAGCAAAGCATACAAAACAGCAGCATCTTGAACAATGTGTCTGTTTTTTTTTTTTGACTTTTCAAGTCTTTACATTTAAAATTGCAGGATCTAATGTCACTCTTCTGTTGCCCATATATTAATTTCCTCTTTATAAAAAGGAAATTTATGCCATTTAATGGCAAGGACTGTGCAGCTCTCTGCCTACTTTACTGGCCGTGGGTAGCACTCTCTCCATTCTACTTCGCAGGCCTGCAAAGGGAAAAGTTTTCGTCTTTTTATGTGCTTTTTACCAACTTATTATCTGTGCATATTAGTTTAAGAGTCCGACTTGTGTAATAAAATAATTCTTCGTTCGTTCTAAGTCGATGCTATGTTCTTTATTTTAAGCCCAAATTATATTAATAAATTGTCTTTGAGCTGATCAGTTTTATGGGGCATTAGGCAGAGTCCAGAGTCATGCTCCATGTCCTACAAATTAAATGGATCAAATCCACACCAATCACGGGCTACAGTTTTAGGACAAAATTATACCGGTACTATTCAACTATAACCCTTTTTCACTTTGATCACCATTTTTTATTTTTTTATTAATCAGACCATATAATTATTTAAATGCATTCAATCAAACCATTATTAACGGAAGTGCTGACGTGGTAGTTAGAAAATTAGTATAATTACATATTTGGTCACTCTTACTTATATATTCTATCAATTTAGTCACTACTTTAATAAATTAAAATAAAATTAATCTTCAAATGGGATGGTGCCATGTGTCACCATTCAATTTGATGATTACATTTATTTTATTTTAATTCATTTATTTAAATTTAATATATCTATTTTCTATGAACTCGCCCTCTAATGAAAAGAAAACTAAAGCATATGAATTTAAGATTATATATATATATAATTTTAAGATTGAATTAAGTATATTTAAAATATATTTTTAATTTAAATATATTTTTAATTTTAATTTTATCTTAAATATATAATGTTCAGATGTGAATTTATGATAAAAATAAAATTTATTTTTTAATATTAGCTTGGGTCAAACATTTAGCTTTGGCGTATGATATAAGATATATATGTCATTTAGTCTTCTTTGAACCAAACAAATTGTTTGGCCTAGTAGTTGGTTTTTCTTCTTCTCACCAAAGAGACCTAGGATTGATTCCCATTGCCACCTATATTTGCTTTAATTTTTTTCACCAGAGGATGACACATAAATTAAATTTAAATTAATTAATTAATTAAAATAAAATAAATGTAATCATCAAATTGAACGTTGACACATGACACCATCCCATTTGAAGATTACTTTTATTTTAATTTATTAAAATTATGACTAAATTGATAGAATATATATGTAAGAGTGACCAAATGTGTAATTATACCATTTTTTCTAATTATCACGTCAGCACTTCTGCTAACCGTTAACGACAAACGGTATTATTGAATGCATTTAAATAATTGGGTGGTCTGATTGACAAAAATTCAAAATGGTGGTCAAAGTGAAAAAGGGCTATAATTGGGTGATTACTGGTATAGTTTATCCAATAAAATAAAATTCTCCATTTTTGATATTTATACTACACAACTTCTATTAATAAATTAGTGATCAGATAAACAATTATTGTTTTACTGAATGGTTCATTCTCTCCCTTGCTTAAAGAAGGAAATGGAGGGTGGTAAAGAGAATGTTCTGATTGTTAAGGACAGTTTGATATAGCTTATGAAAAATGATTTTTAAATGTAGAAACAAATTTTTAAAAATATTATATAAAAGTGTAGTTTAAGATTTAATTATTAGAGATTATGATTAAAAAATAGAGTTTGAAAAGATAAAATGTTCAATATAGACATTATCATATTGTAAATTAAAAATATAACATTTAAATTATATTTATACTTATAGATATTATTATGTTGCAAATTTTAATTAAAATCAAAATTAATTAAATTTTAAATAATTACTCAAGAACGACTTAATACTAATAGGATCGAAGGGGTAATCTTTTAAAAAATGTCTGCAATGTCAGACCATGTATGAAATGCGACTTGGTCAAAGAAGAAACCGAAGATTTAGGTAAAGTTAAAATATGAAATAGTTTAATCAAATTCTTAAGACCACTTTTATTACGTTGTTGGGATTATGGAAAAGAAGCATCGACTCGACTATTATATTATTAAACAAACGAACAGCTTCGTTTGCTGGTTCACAAAAAGCAAGGAGGAAGTTGAAAATTATAAAATGATTTTAAAGTTGAAATAATAAACAAAAGCTAATGGGGAAAAAAATCCAGCCGTCAACATTGTTCAACAACACCTCATTGTTTCCCGTGTTGAAAGTTCAAAGATTAAAAAGACGGTGACGATCGGCGAATGTGAATATGGTATGAATACGACGATGGTTTCTTTTTTACCGATTCAACAACTGCTCCCCACAAACACATGGCTATTAGTTAATTGACCCAATGCTTTCTTCTTTTTTTAACAATTCCCCTGAAACTTGTAACGTGGCCTCCACTACTCTATATATAAACGAATTAGAGGAAGAAGGATAAACCAACAACTCATTAGAAAGAGAGAGAAACAAAGATCTAGGGGCGACTGTAAGAAAAGAACACAGGACGTTAATATCCAGAGATGGCGATGAAAATTATCAGCATGGCAGCACTTGTCGCTGTTGTTTTGGCTTCAAACGTGTTGCAGAGCACATACGCTGCAACTTACACTGTCGGAGACACCGCTGGTTGGACTGTCCCTACCGGGGGTAATACTGAATTCTACGATAACTGGGCTGACAATAAGAACTTCTTGGTCGGGGATGTTCTTGGTGAGTTTCTCATCCCAAAATCCAACTCAGTTAAATTCCTCATAGATTATTTTTCTTTCTTTGTGACAAATAATGTTCCTTTTATTTTGTGAAGTGTTTAACTTTGTTACCGGAGCACATAATGTTGAGGAGGTGACTGAAGCTGTTTACGACAGCTGCAACGGTACCAACAATCCCATATCTACACATAATACCGGACCGGCAAGAATTACCCTTAACAGGCTCGGTGAGTACCACTTCATTTGCAGTGTCCCCGGTCACTGTACCGCCGGACAAAAGCTCAGTGTCGATGTCCGAAATGGTCCAAGGACTGCCGCCCCCACGCCCGGTTCAAGCCCCAACGGACCCGGAATACCTGGATCAGGCCCCAACGGTTCTCCTAGCTCGGCTTCATCCCTCGTTGCCGCCGTCTCTCTGGCCATCATGTCCATTGCCTTAGTTTTGCTCTGCTAATTATGTTCCACCCTTTTGCCTGTTTTCTTTTTTTATGTGATGTTTCATATGTCATAAGTTCAGAGTTCAGACTTTGTACCCAATACACAGATACTTTGATTAGTTTTATTGTTGTAGTGATTGTGGAGCGACATTTTTGTATGTTTGAATAAAAATTTTGATTCATTTCTTTCTAAAAAACCAGACCCTCATTGATTGTGAGTTATGGCTTTAATTGAACAAATGGACATCGGTGGTAGATGTGGCAGCCACCCGCAAAACGACCTAACCTTGTCTTCGTTGCATGGTCTTTTTAAAAAGGGTAAAATACGCAGTGGTCACTAATATTTGAGTAAGTTTTTGTTTTTTCCACTAAAGTTTCAAAAGTAGAAAATCAGTCACTAACGATATCGATTTGCAATCAAAATGATCACCAATATTATCGATTGTAATAAAATGGTCATTCCACCATCATTTCCGTTAAATTGATGAGGTGACAACATTAACAAAAATGTTGATGTTTCATTTTACCCCTAAACTACTACTGAAGTATCAAATATGTCTTTAAACAATGATTTTATATCTAATTTACCCCCAAAAATTTTCTGATTTCAATTTTTTTTATAAATACCCCATTATCTTCACTATATACGAACCACACTCCTTACAAAACGAAAATCACATATAAACAATTAGGAGCACTTTCCTTTGTATTTGTTCCAGCCGCACTTAAACAAAACCTGAAAGTCTAAATCTATCTTCAATTGCAATACCGATCTTCGAAAGTCGTTTTTGTTCTTATCTTACAGCGTTACATTGGAGTAAAGTACTTACCGGTGTGCTCTATTCTCTCTTTAGCATTAGATTTTTGGTTTGTGGGTTATTAGTTGTCTAAAATATATAATGAAAAAAAAAACAGAATGGTTCATTCTCTTCTTCTTTTATTTGCAACAAAAGAGAAGGCAACTTATTGTCTAAATATAGATGTTTTGTTTAAGTGTGGTTGAAACAAATACCAAGGAAACTACTCCTAATTGTTTAAGTGTGTTTTTCATTTTGTAAAGAATATCGTTTGAATATAATCGAGGTGGTGGAGTGTTTGGAAAAAAATGAAAATTAGGAAACTTTTGGGATAAATTAGATATAAATTCATTGTTCAAGCACTATTTGATGTTTTAGTAGTAGTTTAGGGGTAAAATAAAATATGAACCTTTTTTTTAACGTTGTCACGTCATCAGTTTAACGGGTATCACGGTAGAGTATTTTTTTGTTACAAATCGACAACGTTAGTGATCATTTTGTTACAAATCGATAATGTTAGTAATCATTTTGTTACAAATCGATTACATTAATAATTATTTTATTACAAATCGATAACATTAGTGATCAATTTGTTACTTTTAAAACTTTAATAAAAAAATAAAAAATTACTCAAGCATTAACAACAGTTACGTAGTTTACGCTTTTAAAAATTGTCAACCTGACCCTATCATCAATTACGTACTTGCCTAGAAACACATTTTAGCCAGGGTTCTCCAATATCTTCAACAGCCTTGGGCCTTTGTGGTAATAACTTAATATTGAAATTTGAACTTTTAATCTAACAGGTGTCATCTTCAAGTCGACAGCAGGAACCAATTTACTTAAAATGTTCCATTTCAAGGTTTTCTGCCTTGACTTTAATTCCATCATGTGTTGTGTAATGTGTACCACAACTACAGACGTTGATAGCTACTTTATACAAATTTTTTTATTAATATGTAGTGAATATAATATATTAATAATTTAAAGATAATGTTTAATCAATTGATATTGAACACTCATATTTTTAATATTCTTAATTTTCAAACCTAAATTTTTTTATCATTAAAATCACTTAATTTATACTACTTTAACATCGTGAGTTCCCTATTTGTGATATAGACCTAAACTTTAAAGGTGCATGTCCCCACCCCCCTCAAAATAGACGTTCTTCACGTGATTTAGATTTATTTCGGTTACATTTTTAAATTGTTTATTTTATCATAATTTAGATTGATTTGATTTATTTTTTTATTTTGAATTATAATTATAATTTTATTTTATGTTTTTGACATTATTTCATAAATTTCTAATAAATATTTCTAAAAGAAATGACACATGATTGTACATTTTATTTTTTGTATTAATTGTCTCCTTTAATAAAATTTCTTACAAGTCTCACCAACCCAACCTAACTCCATCCCAAAGATCAGCATTACTAAAACTTGGCGTCATGCTAGATATCAACTCTTCCGTTAATTCTATAATCAAACAATATCATTTTATTAATTTTTTTTAAAAATTGTTTAAAATTCGATGGAAATTTGTATGTGTATATAAAAAGTAAATCCCAACATTACCCAACATTTTTGACATTATACTTGCTCAAATATTAAAATAGAAGAGAAAACACTAGATAAGCAGAGGAAAAGACAGAGATATCAAATGGAAGATTAGACTTGAGCAACAGTAGTGCATTTACTAACGGATCCACAGTTTGATGAGTGTGGACACATATTTATCTTGAGATTCAAATTTTAATCGATTAATTACTTATTTTATCGACAATGTTCATTTTGAAAAAAAATTTATTCATAATGAAATCTGAGTTTTCTTCGATTAATTACTTATTTTACGGACGACGCTTATCTTGAAATTTGATTTGTATCAATCCCATTTAAAAGTTTTATATTATTATGTGTGTACTTACCTTGAAAAATATTTTTGGATTTACCACTTAATAAGGCCAAAGCTTTAAAATAAAAACAATGAAATAGGTCCACAAATTTGCCATCTATATACTAATTACACATGTTGACAACTACTTAATTTGTAACAACACTAAACATCTCAAAAATACAATATACTATTTTTATTTTGCCAAATTTAGACTGTATAATGGAAAGATTCCTCGACAGTTTTTCATATTTATTAATGTGGGATGGATCGAGGGATGAGTAGATATAGTCGTCCTCCTAAAAATTTAAATTATTATATATTTTAGATTTTTTTTACATATTTTTTATTGACAATCTATTTTCGTCCTTAAAAATTTTATAAATACAAATTCATCCCCCTAAGTTCAAGTTCACCCTTCCTCCCTCTAACATAAAATCATGTGTTTGTCTTTAGATCTATATATATACTTTAAATCAGAATTTCTGCTTTTTGAATAATAAAATATCTTATTGAGATGATTTTTTTAATTATTTGTGTCAAGTGATTAAACTTTTATAGTATTTATCAAAAAATTGGGGAAAATATTAAACAATACCTTTTTTATATTTTATTGCATCTAAATTTTTTGGTGATTTTTAATGGCAGTTTGGTGGGGTATTTTAGTGGAAAGAGGGGTGTGAGACAAGGTGATCCTTTGTCACCTTACTTGTTTGTCATAGTGATGAATGTTTTGTCTTGCTTGTTGGATGTTGAAGCTAAGGAAGGGATTTTTTTAGTATCTTCCTAAGTGTAAGAGGGTTTCTCTGACTCAATTATGCTTTGTTGATGATATGCTCATCTTTTGAAAGGGCTCTGTCACGATCGGGGGAGAAGGGAGAAGAAACGAAGGACGCGAAGAAGAAATTGGGGAAAGTGGAAGTCAAGGGTTAGGGATTGATAGTGAATTGGGGATGAATTACCTGATAAGTGATCACGTGAGGAGCACGGGGAAGTCAATTACCCAACAAGAGAGCTGAAGTCCACAAACAGATCAGCTAGCCCATTTAGTGGCCAAATACCTGAGGAAATAACAGAACGATTATTCAAGGATAGCAGCTGGCATTTAGTTAGATTCTATGGTACATTGTAAACAAATAAAACAGTAATGTGTAAAGAACAAAGCATGCATATTTTGAATGAATTCATATTTCTTTCATCTCTATTCTACTACTTTCTCTCTACTTTTCTTCTTCTCTATTTCCCTAATCTATCTAAGTCATTACAATTGGTATTCAGAGCCACAAATCCTGGCAAAGCAATGGTTGCATCCTATGTTTTTTCTGCGATTCAACAGCAGATTGAAGACTTATCAAAGCTAGTGAAGCAAGATCAGTACCTAGAGATAAGGATTGCAATGAACAAGGGTCATTTGGAGCAGATTCTAAAGGACTTGTCAGGAAGGACAGATGATAAGGAACCACTAAGCCTGGAAACTGAGCAAATTCAATGACAATAAAAGAAACATATGATGTTTCGCAAGTGTTTGATAAAATGTCAGCAAGAGTAGATCATGTGGTATTCCCATCCATCACCGGTTCCATGAAGGTTGATTCACGGTTGCAGCAGAAACAAACCATGGAAGATGACAAGGCTGTTATGAGGGCTGAGTTAAATTTTGAACAGGGGCATCAACATCAAATGAAGATTCTAGATGCACTAAGGAAGAGAATTTCCACTTATTGTGATACAAGATAGAGGAGAAACCATCATCAATTGAGAAAGATGTCTAAAGATCTAACAAAGGAGGAGAATATAACAAAAGGGATCATAGAGCGTGAAAAGAAACTTAGCATCCTCTATCAGAAACAAGTTTGTGCTATTCAGTTTTCTAGTAAAGCTGCTCGTGATAAATGACTTCAAAAGGAAATTGAGGATTTGGAAAAATTGCTTTATTCAAATTTATCGCAGGAGAAAAAGCTTCAGGAGGAAACTTTTGGGCTTAATGAGGAGTTGGAACGCTTGGATAGTTCTATTGAAAGACACAAAGCTGAAATCACAGAGTTGGAATCTTCAATTTCCAAGTCTCGGTTTAATTATCAGAAAACAGAAAGAGATAAGCTGCAGGATCAAAGGAAGTCCTTATGGGAGAAAGAAAGTAAGCTTTCTGCTGAAATTGATAAGCTGAAATCAGAAGTTGAGAAAACAGAGAAGAGCCTTGATCATGCAACTCCTGGAGATGTAAGAAGGGGGTTGAATTCTATTAGGAAGATATGCAGAGAATATAATATAGATGGAGTGTTTGGTCCAATTATTGAGCTACTTAATTGTGATGAGAAGTTTTTCACTGCAGTTGAAGTAACTACTGGAAACAGTTTATTTCATGTGGTTGTTGAAACGGATGAGACATCAACTCAGATAATTCAACATCTTAATTCACTTAAAGGAGGGCGTGTTACTTTCATACCACTTAACCGCGTGAAGGCTCCACATGTTACATATCCACAAAGTTCTGATGTGATACCTCTGTTAAAGAAATTGAACTTTTCTTCCAAATTTGCTTCAGCCTTTGCATAGGTGTTTGGTAGAATGGTGATTTACCGAGACATAGATGTTGCTACAAGAGTTGCTCGAATTGATGGACTGGATTGCATAACTTTGGAAGGTGATCAAGTTAGCAAGAAGGGTGGTATGACGGGGGGATTTTATGATTATAGGCGCTCAAAATTGAAGTACATGCATATAGTTATGACATTTAGAGATAGCTACTCAGATCAGATTATAGAGGCCTTGTTAGAGATCACACTTCCTAGGTTTTCTAGAGATGTGCTTCCAAATGGTGATGTGATAAGAGATTTGGATGATGTTGGAGCAGAATGTATTGAATTTCATGCTTTGAACAAGTTTCCTTATTCAAAGCTTGATTCGAGGTTTGTTGGGATTAATCATGGTTTCAAGGAGCCAAGTGATTTATCTTTAGAATCCGGGGAAGCAAATCAAACTAGTACCAAGTGGGTGCTTACATTGGCAAGGGCATTGCTCGAGAAAGGTGAGTTTTGTATGCAAATTTTTTTCACAAAGACTGAACAAAATGGGATGCACATCCTTGTAAGGAAGAAATTGTTTGATCCTTGGGGAAAAGGATCATTTCAAGGGAAGGAGAATATCATAACTATATGGGAAGTCAACAAAGAAAGCAGAGAGGATATTCGACAGTTAGTGAAAGAACAGTTAGAGAATGCAAGCAACAGAATGAAACAACAAGCAGACAAGCACATGTCAGAAAGAGTATTTGCAGTTGGGGATACAGTTTACCTGAAGTTGCAACCTTATCGCCAGACTTCACTAGCCTTGAGAAAAAAATTAAAGTTAGCAGCAAAATATTATGGGCTTTACAAAATTACAGAGAAAATTGGACAAGTTGCCTATCGTTTGAACTTACCAGAGACATCGCGATTGCATCCAGTCTTTTTTGTGCGTCTCTTGAAGAAACATATTAGAGATTCAATAGTTTCTTCCATGGATCCTCCTGCCATGGATGAAGAAGATCAAATTCGAATCGAACCATATAAAGTTTTGGGTAGAAGAATAATTAATCGACAAAACAGACACGTGACTCAGTTATTGGTGTGATGTACAAACCTCGACGAGACAAGCGATACATGGGAGGATTATATTGTCCTCAGAGGCCAGTTTCCAGGCTTTGATCCTTGGGGACGAGGATCGTCTCCAGCGGCGGGTATTGTCACGATCGGGGGAGAAGGGAGAAGAAACGAAGGACGCGAAGAAGAAATTGGGGAAAGTGGCAGTCAAGGGTTAGAGATTGATAGTGAATTGGGGATGAATTACCTGATAAGTGATCACGCGAGGAGCACGGGGAAGTCAATTACCCAACAAGAGAGCTGAAGTCCACAAACAGATCAGCTAGCCCATTTAGTGGCCAAATACCTGAGGAAATAACAGAATGATTATTCAAGGATAACAACTGGCATTTAGTTAAATTCTATGGTACATTGTAAACAAATAAAACAATAATGTGTAAAGAACAAATCAGACATATTTTGAATGAATTCAGATTTCTTTCATCTCTATTCTACTACTTTCTCTCTGCTTTTCTTCTTCTCTATTTCCCTAATCTATTTAAGTCATTACAGGCTCTGTGGATTCTGTGGTGGGAGTGAAGAGTGTTCGTGAGGTATTTTATAAAATTTTTGGATTTAAGTTAAATGTTGATAAAACTGAAATGTTTGTTTGTGGTGTGGATAATAGGGTTCTGGGTAGCATTAAGGGTGTCATGGGATTCATTGAGGGTAGACTTCCTGTTAGGTACCTTGTGGTGAGTTTAGTGACAAGGAAACTTACTGAAAAAGATTGTTTGCAGTTGTCGAAGAAAATTCGGGGTAAACTAGCCATTTGGTCACGTAGGAAGCTAAGTTATGGGGGTAGACTACATCTTATCAAGTCGGTGCTATTCAGTATATCCAATTTTTGGTGCAGGTAGCTGGTTTTTCCCAAGGTTGTGATTAGAAGGTTGAGCAATTATGCATAAGGTTCTTTTGGAAAGGGAGTGATGCTTTGACTAAGGGAGCCAGAGTGAGTTGGGGGCAAATTTGTAGGTTAAAGTTTGAGGGTAAGGGATCTATCTTGTTGGAATAGGTCTTGTTGTATGTTGATCATTAAAAACATTCTTACTGATGAGGGTTCCTTGTGGGTGGCTTGGATCAAGACTTATGCTCTAAAAGGTCAGGATTACTGGTCGGTGGAGTGCAAAGCGTTTCATAGTTGGGTTTTGAAGAAATTGATTAAGTTGAGAGGATAGGCTGAGGTCCTGTTTAGTAGAGGTGTGGATTGGATAAAGGTGAATTATAGGTGGATTTGGGAGAATATTAGAGACAAGAGGTAGAAAGTTAATTGGCAGAAGCTAATTTAGTTCTCTTGGCATGTTCCTAAGTTTTCTATTATGGCCTGGATGATCATTTTTGATAGGTTTCCTACGAAAGATAAGCTTGCTCGTATAGGCATTGAGATGGACAAAGGATGTGTATTGTGTGGGTTGGATGAGGAGTCTAGGAATTATATTTTTGGTGATTGTCAGTATACTTGCCGATTGTGGGATGTTGTGTTGCAGGCTTGCAGGCTCCCTTCCCTTGTAGGTTGCGGGCATGGGAAGAAAATCTCGATTGGCTAATCTGTAACTTGAAAGGTAACTGTTTAATTGTTTGTATCTTAAATATTGCTTGGACTAACTTTCTGTATTGTATTTGGGAGGAACGTAATTTCAGGGTCTTTAGGGGAGTTGAGAGATCTTCGGAGGTGGTGTTTGGGAAAATTAAGGACCTTCATACTATATAAATTCTGTAATTGTGAACTTATAATGCTGAAGCAAGCTATAGTTTTATGACATTATTTGCAAAACAGGAGAATCCAGGTCATGATCCTCGAATTGAGAGTCTCAATCAAATCAAATAAAACAGGCAGGAAATAAAAGAAAAAACAATATACATCAACCTCTGCAACAGTTTGTTTATACTGTTCCGATCACAGATTCAAATTACAGTTGTGATCGTGTTCTTAGTAGCATTATATTTATCGTTATTGTAAACATAACAAACACTATTACGGTAAAATGGATATCGCGAACAAAATAACGATCATGGACCACGTCCGAGGTTGTTGATGTTTACAGAACCAACTCACGTACGTAAACCCAACAGAACAGTTAGATATATGTGGATTTCAAAATCAATAATACTTTTCCTCCATATTTGAAACGATCAGAATGAAGAGATTTCAAACAGAGGAACGTATTAAACTTCTACCTTTCCTCCATTTTTCTCATACACTTTCGTCTTCTAATTGACTTGCATCCTGTATATATACACGTTAGGATATGCACCATATAGCTATCAAATTATCCATTTTAACTTTTCTTGGTAAATCGACGTCAAAGGACGCAAAAAGTGAAGGGTATTATCCCAAGGGACGACCTGAGTAACAGCCGAAAAATGGCCGGCCACAGCTTCGGTTTGAGGTTGATTGGCTTACTAACGGTGGCGATGGCAATTTTGGAGGGTGCAATTGCAACTGATTACGTAGTGGGAGACGATTATGGGTGGGATCTTCCCCCTAATAACTCCACTGACTACTATCCTAGCTGGGCAAACAGATATGATTGCAAGGTCGGAGATTCAGCAGGTAAAACAATAAGTAACCAGTATTAACCCCTAATTTCTTGATTGTTTTCATAAATCTAAACTTTTTCTTTTCAATCCTTTTCAGTGTTCAACTAGACCGGAAATCATACTGCAGCTCAAGTGAGAAACCAGGCTGATTTCGATAACTGGCACTGCAATCGAAACGCGGCGGACATAAGTCTGATTGCAGAAACTGGGGTAAGGGCACCTTTAAACACGGAGGGATTCCATTACTTCATCTGCACTTTGGCACCCACTGTGAGCAAGGCCAGAAGGTTGCTTTCAACGTTACAGTTGCTTCTGCTGATTTGGAACATGCTCCCTCGTTTTCATTATCTTTGCTTCTCTCAGCCTTGGCCACCTTTGTACTGATTCATTGAATTATTCTGGCAATCCATTTCTGAAACATACTGTTTATGTAGAGAGAGGACACTGCTTAGCATCGATCGACTTCACGACGGTTGGATTTATTAAAGCTGTTATAGCTATCTACGTACTTCGCCTTCATATGTTTCAATATATATGCTCATGTTTAACTAGTTTTTATAATCTTTTGTACTTGGATATCCCTCGTCTCGCATTTTAAAATTGCATTTGTGATCTCAGTTGAAGTGATAAGCAGCTTGATATCGTTTAAGTAAGTTTTGAATTTAAATCATTTTATATGTAGAAAATTCTTATCGAAAGACTCAACCATCAAAACCAGGTGTGCAACCCGAATTGGTTCGAATTAATCAAGACAAAACCGGGAAGCGCAAAAAAAGTTGCATTTGTGATCTTATTAGGTTCAATGATATTAATATCTATTTGGACTATTAAACAGACAGAAAAATTATTAGATAGACCTGACTCACCACGTTAATTGTAGTCTTAACCAATAATATTTGTCTATTTCATTTTTTAAGGTGAATATTTATCTGTTCGTTATATATAAATAAGAAGTGAGTAATTATTTACAAATTATTTTAAAGTTTATAAATCTGATATCATAAATGACACGGTTAACTGATACATCAAATAATTTTTCTAGACAATCAGGATAGCCCAAGACAGCTGTTCGTCACATCTGAAAAACATCAGGCTTTTTGTTAGAAAGAAAAAAAAAAAGGTTCAAGCAGATTCAATTATTAGTCTTTTTGTAGCCGTCTTAGAACTGATCATAAGTGTTTCAGATTACAAAAGAGTTACATTACTAGTGTGTATCACATACAATCATTAAAAAATTCATGCAAAAAGTAATGGCCGCCAGGATTCTTCTAGGACAGAAACATGAATAAACAAACACACTCGCTAGCCTCTGCATCTAATTAATTTCAGGCATTTCAAGGAGCGAATTAAGGTCCTGAAATAACCAAGTTTGGGGCCTTTAGTTTCTATAGAAAGGTTTTAAACAAACAGGGAGAATATGTCTGACATGTAAGTCTAGGAAAAGAAGACAAAAGTACCTCCATGGGACATCTTCTGCAAACTTCCAGTCTCCTTCTCTGTCCTGATATGAGAGTTTAAAGCTCTCTCGATGTTCAGCAGCTGTTCGTAAAAAAAGATGGAAAAATAACAGTTGATTCAGATTATTTTTTTTTAATAATCCAACATAATATATTTGAAATTATGGTTATGTTTAAGCATGGTTTGGCGTTTACTTACGTATGCCAAACATTCTCATCACGGTGCTATTAAGCACCTCAAAGGAGTGGTGAACGCTAACGTCAATCTTCCTGGCAATTGCGACTCTTTCCATCTTTACCTTCACGTACGTGGATTTCGAAGCCCTACCACCTCTGCCATTAGCTACCGTTTCAGCCGCCATTGTGCGGGGATTATCAGCTACGCCATCGGAGATTTGGTGGCCTTGCGTCTTCCTCGAGGTTTTCACTGGCGGCCACCCCACTAAATTCTCTCCGTCGTTCCTATCAAACCAAAGACTTGATATATATATATATCCCATCAATGGCAGATTGACAAACAAAAATTCATCACATCCAGCAAAAACAACTGAAGTCTTTGCTTTTTTTGCTCCGGAAAGCAAGCAGATAAAAAAATGGAAAGACGACAGATTTGTAGGGTAAACTCAAACTGCAAAGAAGGCACGAGACAACGTAAAGGAGCAAAAAGAAAAATGAGAAAGTGAAGTACCTGAAAATGGAAGAAGAAGAAGAAGAATTGTCGTCCAATTCTTTAGGATTGTCTTCATCATTTGGTTGGTCACTCCAATGCAAAAGAGGCAGCGTTTTGGGAACACTTCTCCTCTCATCAAAAAGCAATGCTGCTTCATCAAAGCAGCTGTTTTTGCTGTCGCAGCCGCCGCCGTTGCTAGAACTAATGCTGCTGCTGTTGTTATTGGTGTTAATACCAATGTCCGATGGACCCAGTTTTAGCAAAGGCCAACTCGAAGCGTTGGAACCCTTTGCCTCCCTGTTCTGGCAGCCGTGGCTACTTAGGTCCAACATTTCCATGGGAACAAGAGGAGTTGGAGGTGCGAGTCCCAGTTGCAGCTCCATGCACGTCAATAACAATATTTTAAAAGAAGCAAAGTGCAATCGCTACGGCACGAGAGAAGAGGAAAAAGAACAATCCGCTTCTTTGGTAGCTAAAGTTTGTAGAATTTAATATTGGGCGAATTACTACTACGCCTTTTGGAATACGGGTTTTATTTTTTAAAGTTCAATAAAACAAATACTACTAAATTCTAAAGTTTGATTATTAAATAAATAACAAATTAAAACGTAAATGCACCTTTTATTAATCATTAATTAGTATTATTTTTTTATTTTTTTACTTTAATTTTTAACCATAAAATCGTAAAATGCAATTAATTATAAAGTTATTTTTAATATACAATTGTATGGAGCATGTATAATTTTTTATATGTATGTAACGATTTATATTATCATATCTCATAATATATTATTTTGAATTAAAATAATAATATATATTGTCAACAATCTTTAAAGTGGATGGATAAAAGTTTTCAATTGATATTTTTTTTTCTAGATTGTGAGTTCAATCCCAATAGAAGTAAAATTTTCAATCATTTCTTCTAGATATGAATTGTTTAAGAATAAAAATAGTAATATATATTATTTTTTATCTGAATAAAATACACAAATAATCTTCGACTTTAGCACGGTGCTTTGTTAAACCCTCACTACTATTAAATGATCTTACGATTATATGATGTTATTTTGTTGAGTCTCTCGACTATTAAGTTATAAAAGAATTATTCGATTATTAATGTGTTCCAAATTCATTCTTTGTCTTTAAGAGTTTTACAACCTATTTTATAACTTTAATAATACATAACTCAACAAAATAACATTTTATACTTTAAGGATCATTTATAATTTTTAATAGTATAAAAATTTAACAATTTGTGCACTTCATCTCTTTCATATTTCACGGTAAATGTTTTGATGAAGTAGGTAGCAATTGGTGAGCGGGTCCAAGTTTGCTTCACTTTTAGCCGACCTATTCCGCTTTTGCTATATTCCAATGTTTTCTGCATCCTTCCTAAAAACACCAGAATCGTACATAATGCAAATGACTTGACATATAAATTTATTAAATTTTATATAATATAACTATATTTCAAAGTAGTCCAAATCTATACAATTCTTGAATTAGAGAAATTAAATTAACTCGTTATTCTAATTAGTATTACAAATTAAACTATGTTTAAAAGGATACTTATTCTCTTAGAGATAATCACCAAACACATCAAGATCCACCTATTGTATCTATCACGAACAATAAAATCTACCATACCCCTTTCACTTATTATTTATGATATGGTCCAATCATATCTTAAAAAGTATTTTGTGGTTTTATCAATAAAACATTAACCTTACATCACATGTTATCGATTTCATATTAAAATGTTCCAATATAAAATCTTCTTAATCACCAAAAGACCTTAGGATCTCTGTCAAATTATCTCCAAAACACTCCATCCTCCTCTTATTACTTCAAAAATGATAATTTAAATATTAAATATGTAATTTACTTTTATAAATTTTACAAATATTATATATGTATAAAATATGACATTCATGATAAAACTGCCTTAAATGTCATGTCTTCTTGTCCCTTCAAAGCCACTTAAAAAAAATTACAGGTTGGGTAGAAAATTTATGAGTGAATTTTGGGACCCAATTGAAATTATGAATCTAACCACATTTGCATTATACACATCCTTGGGTGGTTTTCCAATCAACCAAATCTTGTCGGTCAACCAGTAATGTATGAATTGTTGGTCTAAAGCAGCAAGCCATATTAATTCAAGTGGACAACCGACCTAAGCAGAAAATAAAGAGATGAACACATGTTCTCCCATATATCTCCAGCTCCTTTCATCCATGAAATGTGTCCGGCCACAACCACGTCGGATCTGGTTACAGTGTCCTTGTAAAAAACCTATTCACGTGTAGAGTCTGCTCGTTACGGTTTTACTAAATGTGTGAATTATTATTGGTTGTTTGATATTTTGATCGGAGGTGTAGTTCAAATGGTGGAGTGCTTGCTTTGCATGAGAGAGGTTCAGGGTTTGATCCCTTGGATTTCCACTTTTTTTTTTTTTTTTTTATAATGGATCCACCATTTTTTATGGTCAGCGACAGTATTAAATGGGCTTTACCAACCCAAAACCTGGACAAAAAACTATCGAAGTTTGAACCTACGAAACAAAATCCTATTATCTTTTATCTTTTTCAATCCATATTTACATTCGAGTAACTTTCTAATGTGTATTCAGTTACTCTTTTCAAAATTAGAGCTCACTTAGAAATTTACTGTTTAATAAATAGTACACAAATATGAACAAAAACAGTTCCTGATATTCCTAGCCATGCTCTAGTATATCCATTTTGCAAGCATGCGAACGTCGAGGTAGACTAAAATTCCTGCCACATCACTTCCTTTATGTCCGAACAGGTTAACTTGCATCATCATAAAAGTTTGTTAGCCGGTTCCATCATCGGTTCATCAGATTGACCAATCGAAGTGCTAAGACTAAAAATTAACAGTGTCTCGTCCAATAAACTCTATATATAGTAACAGTAATTAATTTTAAAACCTTCTTTTTACCCTTGATCTTTTCTGTTACTGATATGGTTTTGTCATCTACTATCGTTCTTCTCTCGATGATGCTCCAAGATATTGATTTATCTTTAAATTTTAAAATGCTTTAGTTTCACGAAATGTTAGAAGTTGTTTCAAATGGTTCAATTCCTTGGGAGATTCATCAAAATATGTCAAATTGTTAAACCAGCACTGTTGCTACGACATGAAAAGAAAGTATAATCAGTGAAGAATAAGGGTCTCTTTCTTGTACTTTTACGATGCTGTTGTTTTTGTTCAGACCAGTATCGACAACTCATGAACTAATTTCAGGTGTCCCCATGAAAAGGTGAAAATGTGTCGATTTGTGCCTAAAGCAAAGCCTTCCAAAAGCAAACCTTTTCTCTCTCCCACGTTTTCTTAAAACCTTAAATCTTGCTTCGATGTTCTTAACCCTCCCTACCAGGAACCCAGGAAAAGAGAGAGGCTCAACGGCTTCTTTAGGGCTACGGTTCATTTTGACCTAGCTAAGTAAACCAAACAAGAGGAGAGAGTAAGGAAGCATGAAGAATCAAAAGCCATTCAACAACTCTCCTTCATTGAAGAGATGCAAAAGAAGAATGTTTGCTTTGAGAATGATGATCATGGACCATTCCCATACAAGTTGAAGAAATCCCTGCATGAGTGAGAAACATGGGTGTCTCTTTGTCCCACCCCTTCAATCAACCAACCCAACCTTGGAAATCTATGTACCCACTCACTCTTTATTTTGAATTAAAATATATATATTTGTTTCATTGTAATTTTTGTCACATGATAAAAAAAGGCATGAACTGGTTGTTCAAAAGCATAATAATGTAAAAAGGAAAGAACAGGGGATCCTAGATCATCTGGTGAGGAGGGAATGAAATGGTTCAAGGCGTGGGGGGATATGTAACTGGCAAGTGGCACGCGAACTTGTCGCCTAAAATCATGAGCTCCTGAGAAGAAGAGGCTTTCATTTTTTTTTTGAATACATTAATGAAATAAATATAAGCTAAATCAACTACAGCACGTTGATCAAAGCAGAAACTTCAACATAAATTCCAGAAGGGCGTCACAGCATTCATCCTGTGGAACTTGCAGCACCACCAAACTAAGTTGGTGACTCCACGTCAACTTCGCGAGCTGGTCTGCAATTGAATTACACTCACGAGGCACATGATCGACACATATTTCCCAATTTCGCTGACAGAGATCAATTAGATGTGGCACTAAGGAGGAAACACCTCTTGCTCCACATGCGTTCTTCAGTAAATCAACGGCCTCCTTGCAGTCTGTCTCAACTTTAATCCTCCGAGCTCCCAAGCTCCATGCTATATGTAAACCTTCGAGCGAACCCCATAACTCCACATATAACACCTTAGACCAGTATAACACACAGTCGACTTAATCGAGTGTCACACTAAATCACTGAAGTGGCTTAACAACTATTTTCTCAATATTCTTACTTTTAAACAACCATAAACCATGACCAATTGCATGAGTAAATCATTGATAAAATATAATGAAAACTTTAACATTGAGAGCTCCCAAAATAAATCATTTACATATCAAAATAATAAACAAACCACTTAAATTATAATTGATAACTCAACTTTATATTAGGGTTTATAAATACACACGCGCTTCAAAATGCTGAGATGTACTCTGCTCTAATCTGGGTCTGGACCTATGTTTCTCTAAAGCTCCTCGAACTAGTCAATCTACTAACCTGCCAACATAAACATCCGTAGGCTAAGCTAACTAGCTCAGTGCCACACTAACAACAGGGTCATACTAATAGTGCATCATAGAGCTACATCAAGCTAATCAATCATTAGTGAATATCATCGTGATATTCACTCTCTACTCTAATGGTAGACATCATGGTGAGGCTGAGGGATCTCTACATCTCGAAGCTCACACACTCATATAGTCTACTGAGGATATGACCCCAGGAATTTCTGCATCGGACACCATACCCCCGACTAACCCACCCCTCCCGGGTGTTCAGACCTTGCGCTCTAGTTAGTCAGTTTTAAGGGCCTCGCGCCCTCCCTAAGGACATATCCATACTGCGTCTATACATTCGACTCTGCTAGCTTTCTAAAAGAACTCGAGTGTCTAAATCATTTCCCGAGCATCAAACAAGGCTACTCTTATTTTGCCCTAATTATTTGGTTTCCACGTTTGATTAATTATTAATATTATTCCACTTGTAGTATTATTTGATGATATAACGAAGTGTTGGGGTACCTCGAGTCTAATTCTCTTAAAAAACTGACCTTTTTGCCTAAAACAGACTGAAAGTATCGATACTAGCCCAAGAGTATCGATACTCCTGCAAAATTTTTGATACTTTATATAAGTACATATACTTTTAAACAATCTGTAATGCTCAGTTTCGATACTTTCTGGGAGTTTC